TACAGACAAGTATTAAAACTGATCCAGCTTAAACTAAAATTGATTGGACATAATAACAGTAATGTATTCATAAAAGTACATTAGTAAGGTCATAGCACTAATTAGCGCTAGACAGCATTTCAGATCAAAAAGTGAAAAGGCACTTCAGAATACTTTTGGGCATGCATGTAGCACCTGTCTGCAACTCTTTAAAGCAATCACATCTTTTCTCAAGATTGCACTGCTGATACAATCCTGGGAAAAATGTAGTTGCTTTAAGGAGTCTTAGATGACAAGTGCTATGTGAACACCCCTGCGCAGCCTTTTCAAGCTTCATCCAATGTGTGATTTTTTTACTCTCTCTCTCTCTAGAAACTCAAGGAGCTAGCAGTGGGTGTGTCAAAGACAAAGCTTGGATAGGTAAGTTGCTTTTTTTTTTGCAATACAAGAAGCCCCAAAACAAAGATCACTTACTACAAGATCTACCCATTCAGCCTGCTGTATGTCACAAACCCAAGATTTAAATCTTAGATACTGTACCTATCTTCCACCTTACATGTCAGGGAATTATTTGTTGCTCCTTTTTTTTTTGCCTTTAGATGTGGAGACCCACCAGGCTTCTGATAACGCTCTTATCTTTATTTTTGGCCTTTTGCATCTCAATGTATATCAGTCTGTTTGTCCATGGAAAATCTGTCTGTCCATCTGCTTGGGATGGAGGAGAAAGTTAAACATCCTTAACTTCCAATTGTTTTTTTTTTTTTAAAAGAGACTGGACAACGATTTGTATGAAATGATATAGGTTCTCCTGCTCGAGCAGGGGGTTGGACTTGAAGACCTCTGAGGTCCATTCCATAAGCACCTTTGCCGTCACTGCAGTCATCCCCTGGTCTGGGAGCATATGTCAACCATTTTTTTAAAGAATGTAAAAATACTGTACGTTTCATACCAATTACTTAGGGTTAGAAAGGATCTTGGAGATTTACTAGCTCAGCCCTTTGCTTAAGACAAGAAACTTCACATGAACCCAGACCAATGGTTTTCCATTTGTGCTCTTGGACTATCTCCAGCTTTGCTTTCTTTGATCAGTGGGAGAATCAGTAGCAAATAATTGGAAAAGAAGCTGAAGAGAGGCACCCAGGGCTTAGAACAGCGGTTCTCAACCTATGGGTCCCGACCCCATTTGGGGTCAATCGACCATTTCACGGGGGTCGCCAAGCAAGGCTGTCTGCCATTTTTTTCTCCTTTTCCGGCAGGTGCCTTACCTCCCTTGGGCTGGGCCAGCTGGTGGTCGGCCTGCTCCGTCTCTGCCGCTTGCCAGCTACGCCTCAGCCGGCGCAGGGGGCGGAACCACGCATGCGCGGTGCTCCCGGGCAGGGAAAGTACTCGACTTACGACCAGTTGGGTAGTCCTCGACTTACGACCGGTTTAGTCCTCGACTTACGACTGGTTTAGTCCTCAACTTATGACCGGTTGGGGGTCGCGGCATTAAAAAGGTTGAGAACCACAAAAGGTAACAAAGAGCTGGGGGAATAGGGTGCGGAGGCCTGGCCTTCCAGGGAAGGATCCACTCTATTCCTATCTAATCTCTCTCTCTCTCTCTCTCTCTCTCTCTCTCTCTCTCTCTCTTGCCATATAAATATTGCCATTTTAAATCGGCTTCCATGTAGATTCTTAAGGTTCTTATGGATCTTGACATATTGCTTTCTTTTAGAATTCCTTAGTGGGCACCAAATGAATGCATGGGTACCAAAGACACATACTTTGCCCAATCCACTGAAATACGTTGCCAGGAATCAGCTTTACTCGTGCACACATTGAACAGAAGGCAACAACTGAACATGAAAAGGAAATTTTATTAAACATGTCTACATAACATGAGTTGGAAGTTCATTTAAAAGCACAGGGAGATGTTAAGACAAGTGGTCAAAATAGAAAGATACTACCGGATCATTTATTTATTTGGCCACTAAAAGACAAAACAGTATCTAGTCAGTGCGCCAAAGCTTCAGTTCTTCCTGCTCAGCAGGTCGAGCAGTAATCAATCCATGTGCCCCATGGAAACATGGGCAGAATAGTTCTGGCAATATTAAATCATAATAGTAATAATAATAATAATAATAATAAATATTTCACTTGGTGCAGGCAGTTATGTCTATGAAGGAAAACTTAATTGTGTACACAGTTTCTACATGTGTTACAGCCCCACAGGAGGAATCTACACCAAAATATTTATTAGAAGGAATTTGGTCCGTACTACATCACGTTTTCCATAGGGTAAAAAATAAAGTCCATCTATAGACATTTAGCACCAGACTAACTGATAGCCTGGCTGAAACCTGCAAAATGTCTATAAGAAAAAAATGGATGGCTTAGATTTCTCGGTTACTTCATTAGCGTAATTACGAGCAAACTGTACAAGAACATGCAACATACAACCTGGCCTATGTAGAACTAACATACATTATTAAATAAACTCTTTTGTTTCTTTCCCCCTTTTTTCTTTTCCCCTCCCCCCTCCATTTTTTCCCCTTCCCCTCTTTTTCTTTTACAAAAATGTACATGCAGCTTGGAATAGTTCCTGGTCATGCTGCTCTATTTTGTGAGATCACCATAAAAGAAACAAAAATATCTCAATGCACCTGCTTGTTCTACAGGGCATTTTAAAGCACATTTACAAGAAAAACAAAAACATTAAAAAAAACCACAAGGGATTTCAAGGCCATAAAGAATCTAAATCAGCCTTCCCCAACCTGTTGACTTTCAATTCTGTTGGCACTAAACTCACCATATTCCTAGAGGCTTGCAGTCCAAAATCATTTCAAAGGCACCAGGTTGGGAAAGGCTGACTTGAATGAATAAAATGCAAGTATATTTATTCTTCTTCCTTTAACTATACCTCTCCCACCCCACCCACCCACCCACGAGGTAACTTTGTTTTAAAACAATCAAGCTTTGTGCTTGCATCAATCTCAAAGATATGTAAACTGAAGTATAAAAAAAGCATTCGTAAGTGCAGAATAGTTCAACTGGAATTGGCAATGCAAAATAATTCTGAGTGCGATAAACAGCAAAATGGTAATTAGAACTTTGATTTTGTAAAGTTACAAACAGACTCAGGGTCCAGATGAATTTGAAATTAGATTTCTGAATTAATTACAAGAATTCTTTCTGGTGGAAAATGCCTTCATTTTGAATTTTTAAAAGAAACATGATAGGATGAGACTTTGAAGATTGGATACTGGAGGAAACCAGAAGGAACTAAAGATTACTTTTGACTTATTAATGCAGAATGAAGGAAAATATTTTAACATTGGGCATACTGAATGATATTTTTGAACAATGGACCCAACAGCTAATTTTAAGAATTTCTGCCTCAATAGACAGACTGTGTTTGAAAGATGTTATGGAAGAGGAACATGTTTTATGGACAAGACTGAGACTGATCTGAAAGTAGATTTAAAAATGACAGGCTGCAAGAATGATATGGAAAAAGATGCAACACTGGAGAAAACTTGTTAAAGCTTTGAAGAATTTTGTGAGAAGGGACAAAGAAAAAATATGAGAAGAAATCAAGTTCTAGTACATTATTTGAAGCGATGCCAAGATTATTAAAATAAAAGGAAGGAATGCAACAATGGTTTATCTAGTTATCTGTGGTAAACCTTAATGGATCAGGCTTGATTGACAAGGCTTTAAGGATTTTTTCATAGATAAGATATGGGATGTGGGAAGAAGAGATTATCTGTTGTATTTTAAAGAAGATAAGTTACTAAAATTGTTTATACTTCTTGTCATGAAGGGGGAAGTAATTTTTTATATATTTCTTTCCTTTTCTTTATCATATTCCTATTTTTCTCTCTTTTCTATTTTTATTTCTATTTTTTTCTATACTTTCTATTTTTCCTTCTATTTTTTTTAGTTTGTATTAGTTTCTATCTTTTTAATTGTAAATTTAAATAAAATTACTATTAAAAAAATTCAGTGGAAAATTGAACAATTTCTACCATGCTCTAAAAGGGGCAGCTAAGTCTTTTCAAAAGTAACACAAAAATTCAAACAAGTCTAGATAACAACTCGAAGTTTTAGATGTGCAATATTTTCCCAATCAATATTTATATGTGTATGATATGATTCTAATGACTTTTCTCATGAGCTCTGGTAGAACAACTACTTTACAAAAATAATTGCCAGTATATTAAAATGAAATCCAAAAACAAGCCAAAGCTTGTTTTGTTTTTTGTTTTTTTTTTTAAAAAACCAAGTCTGTAACAATAGATGCAGCTTCATATTTCCCTCATGCAAACTTTTGAAAACAGGGAAAAAAAACACCTTAATGCATAATGCAAATATATTCTGTTTTTACAACAGTAACAAACTGTAGTAAGAAGCAAAAGTAAACCAGAAGTTGGCCATTTATTCTAGTTCTCCACCTATTAATTAAGGGTTGTGGACAAAACCAGAATGGAGGGACAATGGGACAGCTATTGGCATTGCAGGATTGCAAATGAACACTTTCAAAGATGCTTACAGAGATATACTTCAGCCCTTTTTGATTTTGTTTTAGAAAAAGAAAGGAAGGGTCTCTGTTAGCATCGAGATGATTTGGTTTTTTTTACAAAACTGGCAGGAGAACATAGAAAAAAGAAGTAGAAGAAGTAACAATACAGTAATATCAAGGTGTTAAACACTGCTTATGGTTTCTGCTGAGAAACAAAATGGGTCAGGGGCTCTGCTGAACAATGGTAGTTCCAGTTGAATCTCAAAAGTCCTTCTTCAAATCCTGATAATGATAAACATCAGGCTCATTTTGCTAGATGGATTGACTATATTTTCATCTACTGCTTTGCTCAATCGATTTGAGCTGTCTTTTTAATACACAACTCAGACATATTTTTGGATCAACTACTACAGGCAAAAATTGATGTGATGATTGTCTCTTTTCAAAACTGTTCCTCATTGTTGCAAATAGCTATTTCCCCTTCCCACTGATTGCCTTGAGTGATATTGAGTTACGTTCATTAAGATCGAATACAGGGAGGCCCAGTTGAACTTTCCAGAGATGACTGGGAGGCCCTGCGAGTCAGAGGAGTCAATGTTGGATCCACCAAGGAGGAAGGTGGAAATAATTTATACCAGCCTATTACCACACTGGATAAATCAAGTTCTTCTAACAAGATCTGTGCAACTCCCATGAAACACTTGTGATCCATTCGGCCATAATCTCCCCATACTATCACCTGCAAAGACAAGAGGCAGAATTAACACTTGATTATCAACTTACTTATTTAATTATTTAGGCTTACATGGAGTTCTAATCAGAAATGACTCTGATTGACGTATGCTCCTTATTACAGTATTAAAATGCAATCTGGACCATAAATTTTAAAAACAACAACATGGCAATACAGATCATAAACTAGATCTTGTTCACCTTCTGGGATAGGAACAGCAAAGGACCACCTTATCTGCAAGGCTATTCTGTGATTATATATTGTCAGAGGTTTTTTAATTCCAAACAGTGGGAGTTTCCAAGTGTAGTACTTTAGCCTCTTTAAATTGGAAAGCACCTGAGGCGTATGATATTTTTGCACTGTTTTGTTGATAAACATACAAGTATAGCATAGTAGACTGCAAGCATACTATAATCAGGAGACAATCACTTACTGGGTCCAAAAGAAATCCTTTGGACTTTAAAAATTCACATTTCTTCCAACCAAATCACTGTACTGTATCTCTCTTTCTTTTGCTCTTTCTGTAACTGGAGATATTTTTTCCCCTTTCTTCTTTTTTGCCCCATAACCCAAATGGGTCTCACAAAGCTTCATTAAGCTCTTTAAGACCAATTTGCTGTCATTGATGAAACATCAACTATTCTATCAATTTTTTTTATCATGTCATCCACCTAAGAAAGGACAATCTTCCAATAACTGTATCAACATACTACTCTATAAAACAGTGGTACAATTCATTCATTTATTTTATTTATACATTAAATTTATTAACCGCCTATTTCCTGCACAGAGGGGGTCTCATATTTTCTGAGCTGAATTTAGGTCTAACTATGCCAGAGTGTTCAGATTTCAGTTGATATCATTGGAGTGTGATCATAGGCTGCACCAAGATAGAAATATCTACTGACCTGAAGGACTTTACCATGTGAATTGTCATCAAAAACCAACGTCTGTTGGTATAAGGGATCAAGGGTTTTCCTGGCAATCCTTGTTTTCTTCTTAGCTATGCATGCCCCATTTTCAAGCAAGTATACTTTGACATATGGCGCTACAAGGTACAAATATGTCATGTTTTTACATCTTAAGTTAATAACTCCCTTGTTTTAAGGCATTTGTACTATAATAAGAAATTAATTTAAATTACCAACATGATTACGAAAACAATAGCAGCAACTGGTAAGTTACAAAAGAAAAATGTAATGAACCAAACATCTAGGATTCTCCTCTAGTGCACACAACATCCTATGGAAGTATAAATCTGTCATAACTCTTGGAAACTCAAATATATTTTTAGTTATTGGCATGGTCACTTGAATTATTAACATTTACCAGGAAAATCTTTAGATAAAAGCATAAAAATATTCTATGTGCTTTAATTCTTAACATTTTTTTGAAGATTAGAAAGAAAGCTACCAGCTACTGATTGTGGATGGATAGAGATAGATAGGCAAACAGACAGATGGATAAATAGATATTCAATAGTGTCTGATCATTGGAGACTGGACAAGTCCCTGCAATTTTCTTGACACAATTTTTCAGAAGTGGTTTGCCATTGCCTTCTTCCTAGGGCTGAGACACAGATGGCTGGCCCAAGATCACTCAACTCACTTTGGGCCCAAGGCAGGACTAGAATTCACGGTTTTCAGATTTCTAGCCTAATGTGTTAACCACTACATCAAAGTTGGCTCTCATCTCTCTCTCTCTCTCTCTCTTTATCTTATAGACAGATGATCAATTATAGATCAGGAAAGAATGCCTAAGAGGTAGAAATCTTCTTGCCAGTGGTTAGTGTTTATTGTTTGAGCACAAAAAAACCGGAGCTAGAAGATTACGCTTTTTCCAGTAGGGATGTCTGAAATAGTTTTCATTGTATCAGGGATTTTTTTCAGAGATTTGAGCTTCTCCTGGATAGGAAATGACAAGTTACTGACTTTTGCAAAGGAAGGGAATGGCACTCAAGACTTTGGTTACTGGGCTTCAGGGCATCCCTCACTTGCTCTGTAAACTTCTTAATGATGTTGGAAATGTGCATTGTGAGTATTGTATTGCATCGGAAGATTTCTTAAGTTATGACACTCTTTTGTCATCTGCTCTATGAGGAAGCATACAGGGCAATCCTATATGTAGCTACTCAGAAGTAAGCCTCATAAAATAGAATGAGCTTTATTCTCATACTAAAAAAAACATTGCAATTTAACTTCTCATGTACATCTGGCAACATCTATTGGATTTATTGCCAGTATGATGTTTATGCATAGAGAAACAGATGAAAATCATAAAACATATTTAATCTGAAGGGCTGAAGGGGCAAATGTGAATAAAGCACATTTGTTTTTATACGATCATTTTTGTCCAACCCCAAATGGTTCATTAGGGATTTCTGTTAAACAATGCCATGTGCATTATAGTGCATACCATGATCAAAACGTTGTAACCATCTACCACATTTTATGATCTTGGGCATTCTCTTAGTGTTAGGAGAGTCAAGTAAAGCTCCCTCCCCTTACTCACTCTTTCATAACTTCTCTAATTATTCTTGCAGCAATAATTATACGAGATATGATATTTGGGTATTAGATCTGTCATTCCAAGAATAGCCATTCATGGCACTTCCTCTAATTTACATCTCTCTCTCTCTCTCTCTCTCTCTCTCTCTCTCTCTCTCTCTCTCTCTCNATCTATCTATCTATCTATCTATCTATCTATCATCTACATGCATACATATACAAAATATATTTACATTTATGTATTAAGAATAGAATGGCAAAACACATGAATGTACAATCAGGAAAAAGTGTAGTGGTAACAGTGAAGTTACCTTAAATATCTCCCTAGATGACTGTGATTATGCTACAGTTCTGAAGAACAAAAGGTAAAAAGAAAGAACATCCCCAGGAGCATCCAGGGGGGGGAGCAAAAAGGTTGACATGGTGGCCTTGTGATTGAAGACAACAAAACATCCACAAAAAGGGTGTGTGGGCCTTCAATTGTACACTTGCTGCCACCATCTTGATTTTTGGGCCCTTTCTGACAGATGCCCTTGGATATTCACAACAGTTCTGTGCATAGAGCAGTGTTTGAGTGTTCGATCCATCCATATTTTGGGACACTGCATTCTTCATACCCACTGAAAAATGTGGACCCAGAGCACCCCCAGATGGCATCATCAACATTTGGCTAGGTAGAGCGTTTCTTACCTGGGGTAGATTTAGAGCCAGGTTTCTGTATTAGGCCTCGAGCTCTAATGACTTCCACTTCTAATTGTCCTTTCTTATCCACCATTCCAATCTGAATATCTCCTAAGACAGAGATGGAAATGATCATATTAATCGAATGAATGAATGAATGAATGAATGAATGAATGAATGAAGGAAGGAAGGAAGGAAGGAAGGAAGGAAGGAACTAGTTGTATAGTGTACCTCAATTTGTGCTACTTATTTTATTAAGCACTTCCATGCTGACTTGCTAAATTTTCTACCTTTTTTTTTCAATTGGTTTAACTTAAATTTTTAGCTAACTGGCACAACTTCTCTTATGTAGTATGCAATTTAGACTAACATCAAAGGCCCAAACAGAACAATACATTTACAGTAAATGTAATGGCCTTGGTTGACTGTCAATAATAAAAATGATAGCCTTATGGCAGCCGGAACCATTTCATAGAACAAGCTCCACAGTCCTGTCCTGCTATACATATTCTGCTTTTCCCCCACAAAAAATCTGTTTGGTGCCCACTGGGCATCAGCAGAGGGTGCAATAGCTCAAGAGTTATCCAACTAGAACAAGATTTAGATCTCTGATATATAAGAGAAGCTTCCCAAAATATTTTTTTTAAAGAACAAATGTTTCACTTGGTTTTCTATGTTAGAATATCTGCAGAGCTTATTAAAAATTAAAAGCATAAATAGCGGAAATAAAATGTCACTGGGAAAAATACATTGTTTTCAGCCTAAGTCATGCATGGACTGATTGTAGAACTGCAGTGACTAAAACCCAGCAGGTGTATTATAGATAACTAAAAAGTCAAACAATCATTTATAATACAACTGACTCAGTGGTATCCCAAACATAGCTAGTACATCTCTAAATGAATAAGGAACATAACACAGAAATAAACAAACTCTACCCTAAATAAAAATACAATAACAGCTGCGGCCAGTTGTATTCCTGCTCAGGAAACTTTCTGTTTTTTCTACTTCTGATTGTCATAAGTCAAAACTGTTGGCATCAAGTGAACGGTTTTCAAAGAGAAGTTGGCCTACTGGCAGATCTTCAGACAGAAGTTCACTCTCTACAAAGGAAGCCATTTGGGAAGAGTGAATTCACCCATGCTTGTGGTTTGTATCTTACATTAATATTGGCACCATCCTAGCGCCCTGCATATATAATTCATAATGTTCTGGGAGAGATCATGGGACTGAGAAATTCTAAGAAGGGGAAGGGAGCTAGATGGTTGTACATACAAGTGGCTCAGAATCCAACTGTTTTATGCACTAGAGTTGAGTGATGTTTCAGCACTTCAATTTAACTCTGAAAAGAGCATCTCTTTGAAACTGCTTCATAAAGCAAATGGCCACCTGACTCCGAAGAATGAAGGAAGTGACCTGCTCAGCCTTCTATTACAGCCTTCTATTATACAGATGACAAGCGACAGAAGCCCTTGCCCCAAATCTTTGCCTCCTTAGCTGATGACTCTCCCAGGATAGACAGCCCGCAGCTCACCTGAAGTTTCCCAACCTGGAGATTTTTCTGCATTGTTTGCCCAGGTGTTTTGGTGAATGGTTGAAAGAATCAAGGGGTGCAAAAAAAAAAAAAAAAGCTCTTTTGTACTGCTCAGCTCTCCTGCCTGTTTGCTAGTTCATGTGAGGAGCCAGTTGTTTTAAATTCATGGGACTGGATCCAGAAATATCATGAGTGGGTGGAAGGTACAGGACTCAAGGAAACACAGTAATTCCAGCTTTTCTTTCCCTTGTAGTACCTTGGCTTCCCTGAAGATTTGTCCCAGAGGATTTCCCTCCCCCCTTCAGGACAGTTGGTGGAGGAAGAGTTGGAAATACAAGGGGGAACTACACTTTTGTTAGCAAGAATTCCCACAGGTTCAAATGCCCTTTTAAGTAACAGAAGGGCAAAAGTGGATTCAAGCTAAGTTTTCTGGACATTGTTGTTCACCTACTTGAATGTTTTTGCTAGAGTGTGATTAAATGTTTTCAGCAATAATAAAAAATCCTAATTGAAAAGAGAACATAAATCTTGGAGCTTTGTACTACAAGCTTTGTACAAAGAAAAGTCCCAAAAGGAAGTCAAGCCACCTGTTTCAACTTGAATAAATTATCTTAATATTTCCTTTTATGCAGTTATTTGTTTCATGATCCAGGCTAAAATATTTAGGAATATTAACTCACTATATAACCCACAGAAATGGCCCAGCACATAGATATACATACATACAGAATGGGTGAAAAGTAGGACAAATTTTAAAAACTGCTTAATTAGATAAGGATCTGACCACCCTGCACTCAAACAATGCATTTTTAAACATTTAACCTGTTTTGCAGGTAAAAGCAGGGCTTTTTTGTCATAGAACGCCCAGAATGGAGTTCCAGCACCTTTTTTGGATGGAACCTTGTAGGGTAGGAGAGGCGGGTTGTATGACATGTGTGAGTTCCGGCACCTTTTTTTTTTTTTTAAAGAAAAAAAGCATTGGGTAAAAGAAATCTACTCTTACCCATGGCAGGAGTTGCTAAAGTCTGTCGTCCCACTAGCTGAGCCGGTCCAAGCCCATCTAGAAAATCACTGAACTGACTATCAGCGCCCAGTCGAACTCCAGGAAATATTAGGCTGTAACAAAAACAGTAGAAGGGCAAAAACATAATTCATATTATCTGGCTATTATTTTGGCACGACTCTTTTTTTCAAATGCAAAACTACGAATGAACATATGGAACGTAGAACACATTGCCATATTCTTGAACCCTAGTCTTTTTGGAAATCTTATTCATTTCCGAAATTGTCACATAAAACAGGACAATATTAGTTCTATGGAAACAAAGAACCCCACTGTACACAATGAGCTCAAATGAAAGCATCAGGTGTTCTGAAGTATAATTCCCATCATGCCCAGGCAGCATTCTGGATATGCTGACTCTAGATAATTGTAAAGACAATAAAGAAATATCCTCATTTTTTTTCTAGAAGCTCTGTATGTCTATTGTTCCCTTGGTCTAGAAACATCTAGAGGCAACCCAATCCCTTAGGGAGGGGGAAAAAATGGTGTGCACCCAGTCCAGTTCCAACACAGCTGGGGAAAACATTCCTTCAACTTCTTTTTCCTATCCACATAAAAGAACTGTATCCTATCATGACAACATTAGCCCGATAGCAGAGTTTGGCAACGTATTTAGGACCAAAGGCCTTATTAAATATGTATGGGTTTGGATTAATACAGCCATTTGACTGAAGAACAATCTTAACTTATTTTCAGAGATGAGTAGATTATTTATTTAAGTATGCCTGTCAAAATTTACATTTACCAATGTGAAAAAAAATCGTAACATTCTGACTGAACGACAGATTCAATCTTGGATCAGATTGAGGCTGCTGCTTTTCTGCATCATAGCAGTTCCAGTTTTGATAAATGACTGGCTAAAAGGAAACTGAAAACCTCAGCAAAACATCCCATATTTAAAATCAAATTATAGCATTTGAAATTCCCTGATCCACCCTTGAGGCCTCTATTAAAGCTATCACATATTAAAACAGCAATTTAGGCTAAAGTTTTCTCCTGGGACCTTCAGGCAATAAGTCTTGCCACAGCATAACCAGTGATATTTTATCCTAGAGAGTCAGCAGAATCACCCAAGAGAATCACCCAAGTACTTTTTCTTTACTAGTGAGCAACCACAATTCCCACTCAATTCATCTGCAATGAGACAGCAGGGTTTTTAGGTTAACCTTGTCTCAATTTATCTTCCTCTGCTGTCCTATATAGGCACTATTGCTGCTAATTCTGTATATTCTTCCTTCTCCCCTTCTTTAAAAGATTGCCTCTCCTGCCTGGTTGCCACAGTTGATCTGCGCCCCTGCTGCAACACTATGGACACCCTAAGCTTCCAACGTTGCCATAAATCAACCTGCCCGTCTGACACGTATAATGGGTCTGGTTTTCAGAGGCTTCAACTCACTTTCCTTCTGAGCTGTAACTATTGATACTACCATCAGTTGATTCCCGACTGGGCTGCCGAACCATGCGACTTCTCATTTCTGCTGCCATTCCTGTCTCTGTGCTTCTTTGTATAGTGCTTTTCAGCTTTTTGCTGCCAGTCTCTGCAACAGGCAGAAAAACAGAAAGTAGTAGAAACTGTAATAGGAATACTTTATGGGGAATTTTTAGAAGGTTATAAAATTGTTGTAGTTATGTATGTTGTTCACTATAGACTAAAAGTAGAGAATATTGAACTAAACACACCTCTAAATAATAGGCAATAAAACTGCATCATAATCTTATTCTTAGCAAGCGTACTGTCCTATAGATTACACATTTCAATTCATTACTTTATCTACTCTCCCTAAAAAATCCATTAACACGATCTTGCTATTAAACAATTCATTATATTTTTTCAGCATAAATCTGTTTTGATCTTTTTTATATATAGTATTTACCATCTGTAGCTACAATGCTACATTCATTTTTACCTGGAGTGTAAGTTTAACTCAACTCCATTTAAACCAGGGGTGTTAAACTGCCGGCCCACGGGCTGGTTTCATCATACCGAAGCCATGCCCATCCCATTGCCGGCAATGCAAAAAGAGTCGCGATACGTCGCGACACATGTGATGTGACGAGTTTGACACCCGTGATTTAAACAAAAGGCACAGGGAACTGCAACACAGCTATTTTTTTTAAAGAAAGACACAATGCAACGATTCCTCAATCATTTGCTGCACATTTAAGAGCACATTTATGATGCAATGCTGGTTTTGCAATGGCCATGCTTCTATTTTGTGAATGTGTTCAGCAATTTCACCCAACCTGATATTCTCCAGATATGTTGGATTGTGATGCCTATCTACCCACAAGGCAAGCCCAGGCTGATGAAGATAAGGGGGGAATGTAATGTCTACTTCTGAGCATGTCACAAAGAACATAATCAACTGAAGTGGTGCAAGATCCACCACTGACTTTATAACTTCAAGAGATGCTATTTTTCCTTCATGTGGTAGCCCTTTATTATACCCTGATTGCAGGCTGCCCAATAGGGTGATTTTCTACAAAAATCCCAACTGAGTAGAACAAATTATTCATGAGCAAGACTTCCATTCATAATACAGATATGGGATGTTCATTCTGACAATCGTTCTTTCAGGTGTGTTAAGCTAAGAAAGACTGTATTGCAGACTTGCCAACAATCTGTCTACGATTCAATCCAATATTCTGCTTGTCGACTGCACTGTAGTATATTGGTTATTTTCTACCTCAGTAAAATGCATAAAAATTGTTCACATTTCTTTTGTGATGGTTGCTGAGGGACTACTGGTATCTCAAGATGGAGGAAGGGTCAAAGGATTCCTTTGAAATGGCTACTGTAAGCTTTTTGTGAATTCTGATGAACAGCTGCATCAGGCCACCAGGAAGTAAATACTGAGCATCAAACAGCATTTGGTGGTGGCTTATGGTCACTTGGAAATCACGCAAATGGCAAACACCTTCAAAATGCATGCAATTTAAATAAATGTTATCATGTTAAAAAAAGTTCATAAACAATTGATAAACACAATTCATCATCCAATTATTTTGTTGACAGATATGTGAAAATTCTTTCAAGAAAATATTTGATAAAAGGTCTTCCCATCTGAGCATGTCATTAACAATGGAAATACACTCTTCTGGATCCTCACAATCTCCCTTCTGTGGATTTGCATCTGCTGCCTTTTATGTGTATCTTGTTTCAGCTGCAAAGTGAGATACATAGCTGTTTCATTTGACAACACCTCTACAAATAATGGCTAAACTTAAAAACACATAACTGCAGTTATTCACCTGCCCATTGCAATTCATAGCATTCAATGCTTCTGTTCACCTGCCATTCAGGATTTGAAAGTTAAGATACAGAGTAAACTGTTCAGATGCCACTACCAAAACATGGACATTTAATTAGTTCTTCTGAATTTCATTGAAATGTTAATTATGATCATGTAAAAGGCAATATACATTACTAAATACATCACTGTAAGAAACATAGATCTTGATAAATTAACATATTCCTGAAGATCTATTGCATAATATATAAAGACAATAAGGCTTAAGTAAGGTTACACTTAAACCACGTTTTGCGTCTGAGAACTCTAAAGCATATCAGTATTTAAACACACACAATTTCAAATGTGAAAGAGGAATTAAAAAGTTAAAACCTCTCCCTCTACTGAGCATGACTGTTTTCTAGGCATCTCTAGTATATGAGTTACACAAAATGAACTATCTGCCAGAAATGTCTGATCGTACATCTTTGAAACTGGAGAGTAAGTGACAGGCTTATAATGGATGTGGAGTGAACTGTCCTTCAATGATTAGATAAAGGAAATGTTTAGTCAATATTGACTAATGATCTAGAAAGATTAAATAATTCAATCAATTTGCTTTTTAAAATCCAAGTTTATAGGTACTTTATATCTTTGCTTTTTGTTGATCAGAAATAGCAATGCTCTTGAGAAGTAGACAATGTTTGATTTTCCTATTTCAAATAGACATTTGGGATACTTGTACACTTTTGTTTACATAACACATTGACTTCATAATAGCCAGGACTCTGCAATGGGCTATGTTCCCATCGCAATTTTTCTTTTTTCTTTTGATGGAGAGATATGTAACTCACACTTTGGATTCTTTATATCTCAATTACTAGATATAAGATTAACGTTTAAACAGAAATCATTCAATTGGAACTTGTGGCACTATTCTATACACATATATTGAAAAGGTTCAACAAACCTTTGTACAGAAAAGTGTTAAAGTAAGAAAAATTAAGCATTCATATTTCATATAAAAGATTCTGATACATGATTTTAAAACAAATATTCAGGTAAAAGAGCTGCTTTGGGAAACAAAAAAACAAATTAATTTATAAATATATTTTGAATATATAAATGATTATGGATACATAAAAACGTCAGAGTTTTAAGATAGTATTGATGAAAGCACAATTGAAATACTGGAGATAAAAATGACCAGTTGCAAAAGAAATGCATTCATAAGGGTGTATTTTTTTTCAGTGAAAACAGAAAAGTAGACAAACTTTACAAATCTGATCATTTTGCATATAACTTAAAACTTCTAACTAAAGTGGAAGGAAGAAATATTTAATCCAGAGGTGTTAAGATGCAGAAGAATTAATGTCATAAGAGCATGTGTAAGTCCATCAATTAATAAACTGTATCACTTCTCAAAAATCTTGGAAGCAGTGTCCTGTATACATGGTTAATTTCTATTTTTTAATTGACAAAAGGATAGATTAAATATACAATTGATGAATTATTCTCTTACTTGCATTTAATGTAAATGTAAAGAAAATTAAACTATGTTTAATGTTTATCCAGTATCCATCTATCATGTTTAGAAATATAACCTCCAGCCTGCCATTCTTATATCTGGAAAAAGCTGTGCACTCCTGATCTATCACTCAAGGGCATCTCTCATGAAAGACATATTTGTCATAGCCTCTAAACAATCCACTTATATTTAAGAGGGGTAAAAAAAATCTCTCCCCCATCCCCTTCTAGTCTCTCTATTGGATGGAAGGAAGGTTCTAAAGAGGGACCAGTGAACTATACTGAAATTTGTATAGTCTATTCCATTATCTATTTGAAAGATGCATTATAGCATAATTTCTCCTGAAATGACCTGCACTCAGTCTCAAGAATGACTGTCCTCATTCAGCATATTGCTTCATGTCAAAAATAAGGTGGCAGATCAAGCAAAAGTGCAACTTTTATGTTACTATCCAAAGGGCATCTTTCCATTACTGGAAAAGCAATTTACAATAGGTAATACAGCAAAGCCATCCTTACAAAGAAACAACATGCTTCTTTAGTGTTTCTTTTTTTAAGAAACAGGACATTCAAGGATTGTTGAGATGATTATCTCCTAAACGTTTTTTTTCTGAAGATGCATCTCTGAAGAATATACAGTCATTTTTTTAAACATTCAATTTACCAGATCGCAGCAATTTAAACAACAAACCATGAGAAGTGAAGCTTTGTCTGCTATTATAATTTACTAATCACTAATTTACTAATTACTAACACACTTTAAACATTTTTCCTAACATTCAATTATTTTACTACGGTAATTGATTTAATATTAACTTGAGAGAGAGATCTTGGAATCCTAGTGGACAATCACTTAAATATGAGCCAGCCGTGTGCTGCAGCTGCCAAAAAAAACAACACAGTTCTAGGCTGCATTAACAGGGGATAGAATCAAGATCACATGAAGTATTAATACTATTTATAATGCCTTGGTAAGAGCACACTTGGGCACCACAATGTAAAATAGATGTTGAGATTCTAGAAAGAGTACAGAGAAGAGCAACAAAGATGATTAGGGGACAGGTTGCTGGAACTGGGTATGTCTAGTTTAATGAAAAGGACTATGACATGATAGCAGTGTTCCAATATCTCAGGGGCTGCCACAAAGAAGAGGGGGTCAACCTATTCTCCAAAGTACCTGAGGGAAGGATAAGAAGCAATGGATGGAAACTAATCAAGGAGAGAAGCAACCTAGAACTAAGGAGAAATTTCCTGACAGTTAGAACAATTAATCAATGGAACAACTTGCCTCCAGAAGTTGTGAATGCTCCAACACTGGAAGTTTTTAAGAAGAGATTGGACAATTGTTTGTCTGCAATGGTGTAGGGTTTCCTGCCTGAACAGGGGATTGGACTAGAAGACCTCCACAGTCCCTTCCAACTCTGTCATTCTATTCTTTTAAAACTGATTATACCTTTGACAGAAAACAGACTCATATAGCATACATATTATACAAACCTATCTTAAGCATAAGCAAAGTTAAATATTGTCTATATTAGTAAAACTTTAGTAGGAAATCTATTATAAACCTTCAAAAATCTGGATGTACAATCAAATGTAGGTTCTTAAGCGCCCTTTCATAAATGTGCACACACACACCCACATTCACACAGATATAATCCGCCATTAGTTTTTGTTACCTGTGTCAGTTTGCTCCTCTGAGAAGCAAAAATGGTCAGGAGGTCATAAGCAAGATTGCTTCTAGCTTACACAACCACACACTATTGGCTTTTGTTTGAAAGTAGCATACCAGTGCTAAGAACCTGCTGTGCTGGCTCTTTACAACAAACGCCTACTGGTAACCATGTGGTGTGTCCTAACCTCTCAGCAAGGACACCCATTTCTTACATCCCGAGCATTTTATGACTTTTTGCAGAGGTCACCTTCATTTTATTCAAGAAGACCCCATGCCCATTTCTGGAAGAATCATAAAAGGATGATACAACTAAAAAATCGAAGAAGAAAGATTTATTGGGCAGCATCTTTAAAGAAACTCACCCCCTGCAGCAATCAACAGAAAGCATAAGAGCACAACCCTGGAAATCAGTTTTTAAAATATTGCTCCACATCCCCCATCTTCAGAGCTCAAGGGGATGATCGTGATGTTGCCAATTCTCCAGCGCTGCTCTTGGTTTTATAATACCAACTAATTCCTGACAGGCAGAGAGCAATTGTTTATATCTGTTATATAAATAGTTGAACAAATGAAGCAATTCAAGGAAGAACACCACAAATCACCTAAAGTGAAACATTAAAACATGGAGTCAGATCTCCTGCATTATAATGAAAAGGGCTCTGAATCCTTAACAAGTAAGGTTTCTGTATCCCTGATGGCTGCAGCTCAGATCTGAGGTAGTTTTACTTATGAGCAAAATCCAATCCATACTAGGAAAAGTTATAAATATGCTTGAGCCTTAGTTTATATCAAGTTCTTTCCATGAATGAAGTACATCCATATTGTCCCTTAACATTTTCTTGTAAATAAGCCCTATATAAGTTATATAAACAGCTCATTGAATGTAAAAGGGTTACATTTAGTGATACCCAGGTAATTGAATATAAAAATTACATACAAATGTCTTCTAGTTATCATATATATAGCATTTGAAATATAGAATGGACTTGGTAATAGATTGGTAAGTCTAGTTCCGAAGCTTTTATATAAAATGCACATGCATTGCTCACATATCATACTTCTTCACTGCAGATTTCATCAGTTTGTGAGCTAGAGTGTAGGACAAAGGAAATTGATATAAACACTTCATGAGAACAGTCACTTTACATATGAAAAAAAACACTTCATTAAGTAATCTGAATGTAGAAGGCTATTAGTGAAGTGAAATGAGTAGAGAAATCAGAATAATGTGAACATTTATAACCATGAATACACCTGTTCATTTTTCCCAGATTATATTATAGCAATTTATATCTTCATAAAATATTCATTTGTCTTGACAAAACACATACAAAATCACATTAGCAATGGCTAATAACATCGTAAACTGTATCCACAATTCTAACACAACTATTATTACAGCTATTTAAAATATGACCCTATCAAGAGAAGTATAGCATTGTTCAGAACTGCCAGCAGAAGCCCCATGTGCAATGAATGGCTTTGTCATCCAGTAGCAAGGCACACAAAGAAGCCGCCTCACAAGTTCTTATTTAATACAATATTCATTAATTCACTGAAAGTGGCAAATCCCCACTTCCCTGAAAATGAAAGGAACCATAATAATTCTACTATACTAAAATTGTGTTTGGCAGTCAACACATCAATTTAAAAAAAAGACAAAGCTAAGAATTAATGGAAGGAAGGAAGGAAGGAAGGAAGGAAGGAAGGAAGGAAGGAAGGAAGGAAGGAAGGAAGGAAGGAAAAGGTCTCTGAATACACTGAACTATAATGACTACACAAACAATGTACATCTATCATACATCTATCACTCTGTCAAAACAGGAGTTATTTTATTCCATTCATAGATAATATTAATTGTTGTCTCTTCATAGAAAAAAAAGAACAAAACAATTATAATGAGAGTAAATGTAATGTCAGCTTCCAAGCTGAGCCAAAACTTCATTGTTAACTATTTTCTAACAAATTTATAAATGATCCAACATTGCTTACCACAGAATGTTTATGTAAACTATGAATCCTTCAAGTAACCCAATCTATTTTCAATAGAACATATTTTTATGGATAACATAATCTTCATCACAATAAGTTTTATTACAATAGAATATAGAGTTAAATATCTACAACTGAGGCTAACCATATCTTTTTATATACATATGGGTACAGACAAGAACGACCAGGGTGTCTTCGTTCTTCATGTAACACTTTAATCGAGAGAGTGAATGTAGGAAATCAACACAATGGAGAGGCTCTCGTTTAAGGTACAAGTCTGAAGCATTTTTATTTGGAAGTAAAACCTACTGAAATAAATGAGATAATACACTTAATGTCTGATGGCCCCATTCTTGTAAGAGGTAAAACTCAACATTGATTTGTGAGAGACGCAAAGTACTCCAAAGCTCTGGGGTGCCTGTTTGGTAAATAGAAAAGCACATTTAATCATAGCTCTATTCAGAAGAACTAAAATGAGTAGAGTTAATTTTGCATACTATTTCTGATATGAGCATTCAATAGAAATCTAGATATCCGAAGAGATCATGTTCACGCTGCCACATTGACTGGGATTGAAATACTGTTTAAGAGGTACTGTCCCCAAAACAAACTGGACCATTTTCTTCAAAACTCTTGGTCAGGCAAATATGTCACATAAAATGACTTTGAATATTATTAATTCCAGATATTTCCTGTAAAATAGATTGACACATACTGTACACTTGTGCATTTTCATCTGAAGATTTATTTGAAAACCAAGTATATATAAACTATCCTGGGTTATTTAGGCAGCTGAATTCCATTTACCTTATCAGTGCTAATGAGGTGGAAAAAGGATCAATTAATTAATCATTTTTTTAAAAAAAGCAGGATAAAGTAAGATAATCCAATCAGAAATATTTGACATACCTGCAGACTGTGATAATCTTGACGATGAAATCACCTCCTATAAATGGGACTAAACCCTATATTTAAATCAAGATTTTCTTTTTCCTTTTCTTTCTTAAGCATCAGCTAAGGAGAGCTACACTTTATCAGAATGAGGAACGGATTCATAGATTTGAAGAGAGCTGTGAACCTTAAAGCATTCTTCCCTCTCTCTATAGTACCCCTGTTCTTTCTTTAGGCTATAGAAATGAAACTTTTATGGTTTCTAAAGTACCTCGAGAAAAAAAAAAACTTTAAAAGCATGTTACATAACATAATGCTATATTCTTATTAGTTTGCTTGACTGAGCTCTTATATATATATTCAGGTCAAAGTACATCACAATGGGCAAAACAAAATTCTAGAGTGCTTATTTTACAATATTTCATAGTTGACACTAGTGACTATATCATAGGCCCACAAGAAAACAGCTTCTTCTCAGAAACCTCTATGATCCTGCTACATTTATTAATCTCACTCACCTGTTTGACTAAGCTGGGATGTGCTTCTGCTTCTGCGAGATACCATGGCAACCACTTTGGCACTAAGGCTTGATCTTCTCTTCTTCCCACCTGTTCCAACTGTCCCAACTGCGGTATCTGATTGACTCCCATCATTCTGTTCCAGCTTATATACTTCTCCACTCACACTTGTGCTCTTTGTGATGATTCTCCCTGAAGTCCCCATCCTTCCGCCTTGCATTTTAGGAGTAAACGTACTATATTTTCAAAGTAAAAACATACATATACATTTAAATTATGAGTTTAAAACACACTAGTGTTTTCTAATAAAATTGGTTTAACTTCTGCCCAAACCTTGATAAGAATACTTTCAAACTTCTTTGATACTTTCAAATGCTAGTTCTTAAAAGTAATGTCCCCCCTTCTCCAATCAGCTAATTAAAACAATCCCTCAGTTTCCATTTCCATTTATTAATTTAATTATATTCTTATATCCCAGTTGTAGTGTGAAAGGTCATGATTTTTCCTAATGAGAACTTTCAAAGTGAAAGATTTAAAATACTATGCTATGCTATAATTATGATCTATCATTCCTCCCATTAAATCTGTATAAAATGGGACACAGAGTTCGGGAGTAAACAAACTTGCCATCCACCGAGATCTCTTGTTTGAAACAAAATTCTAAGGGAATATAATGTACAATCTAAATAAAGTTCTCTGATAAAGTTATATTGGGGGAAATGAAAAGAGATACTTTTCCATGTTCCTTCATTTAACTGGAATATAAACCTGAAAACAACCTGAAAAACTGATTAGTCACTAAAGTATTATTTAAATGACAACATTAGTATACAAACATTGGAAAAGAAAGTTCAATCTTATTCCATTATGTGAAACCAAGGACATTTTCTTTGAGAATATTTTGTTTAATCCTATATGCAGAAATCTGAAAACCCTAAGGAACTGTTCCACATTGCCCAAAAGAATTTTTTTAACTATGTGAAATAAGGGCAGCCAATTTTGATATGACATTTGTAGCTATTAATATACTATATAATTGTACCTTATCATACAATTCTTTACATGCATATTCAGAATTATGGGCTGGCTGAGGATTCAAAAGAAAAATTAAGAGAATTAATTTCAGAAGCATTGGCAGATGCCTTTTTGGCTTGTGGCAGAGATGGTCCATCGCAGGAATTAATTCACGATGAAATAGAACATGTCTTCAGAGTGAATTCTTGGGTTGCTCGTCAAAAAAAATTTGCCAAGAGATGTGGTGGTGTATTTTACAAGAAAAATGAGACGAAATGAAATAATGCAGCTTTTTTACCAACAAAGATTCAAGATTTTAAACCAAGACATTATTCTTCTAAAAGAAATTCCAGCGAAAATACTCAGAGCGCGACGGGAGTATGCTTTTTTGGTGCAGGAACTTAAGAACAGACAAATGATTTTCAGATGGGATATACCGGTGGGCATAATTGTGAATGTGGCTGGTAAGCATTACAGAATTAATTCGGTTAAAAAAGCGAATGATTTTATGGCGTCTGTGTTGCAAGTGGAGCGTCCACCCACATCTCAAAAGACTGACGCAGCTGAGCATTTGATTGTGGACCTCCCTTCTATTTCCGGTGTAAAGGATGTAAATGGGTGTTCAAAAGATGATGGAATAGAACAAAGAATGACTCGCGCAGCTCACAGACGCAAGGAAAAAGAACAACAAATGACAGCCTGCCCGTTAACATCTGACAGCTCGCTACCTGCTATTTCTGGGCCAGTAGGTGGCGCTCGACCCCAGGTTTTTGTTAAGTCCTACGCTTCAAGTATCGCTATAGGATTGAAATCAGCCAATGCTTAAAATTTCATCTTGGAACGTGGGGGGGCTTAATATACCCCACAAAAAACGCAAGGTTTTTCATTATTTAAGACATTTTAATAATGATATCATATGTCTACAAGAGACTCATATTGTGGTTAAAGATCAAAAATTATTGCTAGATTTTAAGCTTGGAGATTTGTTTGCTGCACCTGCTCTTAAAAAAAAAGCTGGGGTTGCATTATATATAAAGAAACATCTTTCACCTATCTTAAAGGAAGCTGACAAAGAAGGAAGATTTTTATTTGTGGAAATAAACTTAAATGGAAGAAAATGTTTAATAGTGGGGGTTTATGCCCCCAATCAACTGTCATCTCAAAAACAATTTTATAGACAACTACACCAGAAAATTGTGGCTATGGATTATAATTCTTTGATTGTTATGGGGGACTGGAATGGGGTACTCGATACTTTAAAAGATAAAAAGACAACTTCTAAGGATGTGGCCCTTTCCAGACTCCCTAAATCTTTTTTTGCACTGATCAACTTATGCAAATGTCAGGATTTGAAGTGGTCAACAAAGTCAAATATTTGGGAATTTTTTTGTCATCCTCTAACGCGAAATTGTACCAGAACAATTATGAAAGATTGTGGAAAGTGGTACAAAAGGACTTATTAATGTGGAAAAAACTACAGTTTTCTTTGCTGGGTCGTATAGCGGCCATTAAAATGAACATTTTGCCTAAGTTTCTTTTCTTATTTCAGATTATACCTATTTTAAAAAATGAACTTAACCTGAAAGAATGGCAAAGAGATTTGAATCGTTTTATTTGGGAAGGCAAGAAGGCGAGAGTCAAATTTAAAATTATCCAAGATAGCAGAGAACGTGGAGGACTTAAAGTACCAAATTTGACACTTTATTATGACTCTTGTGCATTAACGTGGATGACTGATTGGATTAATTTGTCCAACAAAGGGATTTTGAATGTCGAAGGATGGGACTTGTACTTTGGGTGGCATGCTTATCTTTTTATGCAGAAAAAAATTGATAAAACCTTCAGAAATCATATAATAAGGACTGCATTGTTAAGAGTTTGGCAAAAATATTTCCTTAAGTTTGATGTTAAGCTACCACTCTGGGTGATACCATCACATATTTTTCAAACTATAACCAGAGGAGTGGTGATGGAGGGACTTACATACAAAGATTTGTTATACCAGAGCGGTGGTGGCAACTGGTGTTTAAAATCAATAGAAGTTTTGAAGCAAAATAACCCAAATTTTTCTTGGCTTCTGTATAGACAAATTCAAGATAGATGGCGAATTGATAAAAAGACCATTTTTGTTTTGGAAGACGGGAATTTTTTGAAGCAAGTAAGAGATGGTGCTAAAGGACATATTAAAAGGATATATAATGTTTTATTAGAATTG